TCCTTATCAATGTTGTGTAGAAATTGCACCATATTGATCCTCTATTGATGGTAATCACTGTAGAAAAGAGCAGGGAGGGTTTGTTTTAGATCCAATACTCACTATTTTCTTGAACACCTTTAGATCTTTGATTGTTAATGATAAAATTGGAAGTTGCACATCAATCTTCATGAATCTTTGATCAAAATTAATCAATAACAGCTCTTTTCGAACCAAAATTCAATCACGGGCTCTAATACCAACTGAAAGTTCAATAGATCTAAGAATTATGTAATTCAACTTAGAGCAATGAATAGAATAATGAATTGATAGCATAATCATAATCAAATTAGCGAACAATAGAAGTATCAATCATAGAAGTCATATGTCATTGATAAAACAATGATCAAAAGCTTTGAGAAAAAAGAAATCTAGAGAGAGAAATTCTCTACAGCATAGAGAAATTCTATCGCAATTACATGTACCAAAAGGTTACAAATGCTATGAGATTGACCTCCTATTTATACTCACGAGAATATAATCTATTACAAATATATAAGAGATCATATTTCAAATTACATGACAGTAAAAAAAATTAAGTACAAACTAATCTTGAACTGCCACAAGGTCTAGCATCTTCATCTCTCTTTTGAATAAGCAAAGCTTTCTCAGCTTGTATAGGATCAAAGATCTGACTTGGTAAGAACTTTTTGTTCTTCTTTTGAACTTGTAAGTCTATATAGGTGGATCAAACTTAGGAGATAGTCTATCTAGATTTCTGAGTCTTCTTAGTCAGAGCTCTAACTTGCTTGTCCAAAAACTCTGCCTGGTTTTCAATACTTAGCCATTCTTGAGAAGGTCTTATCTAATCCAACTTATACAAAAACTATGATTTAACAACATCCTTCATGAATTAAACCGTGCAGGGGGGCGGTCTTGGCTTGGGAAGGGTAGATTTCACTAGGGGTCGAGGGAGTGTTTAGGGAAACATTCTCTCTTTGGGTTGGACTCTAGATTCTTATGGAGTGGATTTCACCTCCTTATTTGCCAAAAAGATTAGGGGACGGGTCATCCATTTTATTTTGATTAGACAATTGGGTAGGATATTTTTGTTTATATGATCTCTTTCCACTATTATTTATCTTGGAAAAGATAAAGAGGCTAAAGTAAAGAATAGAGGGTGTTGGGTTCATGAGAGGTGGGATTGGGTTAGGGCCCCAAAGGGTTTGACATCAAGTGATTTGCCGAACTTAACCATCTTGTTACAATTTACACGCTTCTATAAACCGCATGGATACATGGTGGTGGCGCCTCGATGATGACAGGAGGCTCACGATCAAAAAGTTGTAGATTTTGGTTGAGGAGAAATTTCACGTAGACGATGATCTTAATCCATAAACTCATTGGAACAAGCTTGTACCAAGAAATATCAACATCTTCATATGGCATTTTACCCATGGCTGACTCCTGGTCGATTTGGGTACAATTCTTTTCCCGAGATGTAATGAAGATTCCGAGACGATAGATCATTGCATTACTAATTGCTCGATTGCTAGAAAGGTTTGGGTTTTGTTTCGAAAATGGTGGAACATTGATGCTGATTTTGTTCACTTCACGAATGAGATTCTTAATTTCCAAGGGGGTTCTTCCTTCTCTTCATGGTTAAATCAGGTCCTATAGGCTTCCATTTGCGCTACCTACTACTTGTTTTGGAGCCACCGCAACAACACGATATTCAGAAATAAGTCGGACTCAACCGATATGCTATTTGCTGAGATGAAGTTCGAATTTTTGAATGGGTGTCGAGACGAATCAGTAAAGAAAACATTTCATGGGAGCTATGGATTGAGAATCCATCTTGCCTCTCCCTCAACAGATAAGGTGCGCTTATGACATCGGGTCATCCCTCCTCGGGCCTAATCAATGTTTTCCCATCTAGCTCATTCTTTTGGTTGTTTGTAATTTTTCTTTAATCCTGTTAACTTCACCTTGTAGTATTCAGTTTCTTCCTCGTATTTGCTTATTTTTGTTTTTAATAATATGTTGCATTTCAATAAAAGATATTCTAAAAGATAAAATAGACAATCATATAGATTCTGACAGTCTTATTGGTTTTGTTTTTAAACTTCAAAGATCACCTGTTGTCAATTAAAAATGAATGTAATTCAGACTTTTAACCCCTCTTAAAAATGGCTAAATGTAGAACAATTATCATGGGACGGGACGGGATAGGACGAGACAAAACTCACTGTCCTATGTTTGGCGCAACATGGGAAAGAACAAAAACTTATTGTCCCACGTTTGGTGTGACATGGGGAATGAACAAGAACTAGAACAAGGTGGGACAACATAAGACAAAAGAGGCTTATTCTTGTTCCACCAAAATAGGTGGAACAAGATGGGACAAAAATGAGACAAAAACTAAAATATTACTAATCTACTCTAGTTTGATATATAACCTTAATATGGTATTTGTTTTAAAGCTCATCATCGCTAGTTTAGGCCGCTGCCACCACCGCCGATCACCGGCGATGATACGCACTAATTATTTAGTGCTTAAACACTCTTTTCTTCTCTTTTAGTTAGAAATTTTTCCATTTATATCCCAACTTTGAGTCACTTTATTCCTTTATTTTACATTTCTTTGTTATGGAGCTAAGATAAATGATTTACCTTTTTTTGTTATGTAATGGGTTTAAATGAACTTAATTTGGACAGATTGAAACTGTTTGATGTTGTGGGGATGCTGTAGCATGACCTGTCTGTGAAAAAATGGAGAAGAGAGAACAGGATGCTGATTGACATGGCCACAGTTGACTTTTGAATGACATTTTGTGTAATACTAGCTGTTTAATTTGTAATTAGTTAGAACCTTGTTGGCTAAGTTTGATACATTAGACTCTAAACATTTGCTTTAGTTGTACTTTAACTCTAGATTAGTGTTAAAAGACTATTTCACCCTCACCTCTATTTTAATATAAATAGAGAAGTTGGACTTAGTATTTTGATCATTCCATCATCCTTTATTTCTCCAATCCATCATCTCACTACTTTTAATACTTTCTCTCTCTAAATATACAAGTAATCTTTTGGTTCATTTCACTTTCAAGCTTTCTTTTAATTGCTTTTTATTTTCCGCTCTTTAATTTCTGTCATTTATTTATTACATTTTCCGCTCTTTAATTTCCGTCATTTATTTATTACGCTTTCTGCATTTTACTTCCCGTTACTTATATTCCGTCATTTACTTTCCATTATTTATTTTTATGTCTTTATTTAAGGCAATTTATATTTCTTTCTATTTACTTTCCATTATGAGTAGCTAAATTTCTTAGCTCGGGTGTATGACGAAAAGAGTGAGTTTGTAAATCAAAATAAGGTAGACCATTTTATGTGACAACAATGTTTCATTATTTCATTTCAAGTTTTATAGAACAAATGACACTTCTTGACGAGCTGATCACTTAAAAGTGTTAAAGTGTCATGGACTCTAAGCTGAGCCATTGATTGCACGTCAATTTGGATGATATGGAAAGTAGACTTGAGAGAGTTGCTAACAAATAGATTTGTTATCCGTATTTTCTAAATTGTTAATTCTCGACAGGTTGATCACTTTGAATTGTTAAAACGGAATGGGGTCAAAGATAAGCCATTCAGAACATATCAAGTTGAATGATATGGGAATTCATTCGAAAGAGTGATTTTAAACAAAGAGATTTGTTTATCCATACATTTTGAGGACAATATTTTGTCACTTTCACTGGTTCGGATACCTCATAGAGATATGGGTTACAAGCTATAATATCAGTGCAATGGTGAAGTCCGAGAGGAATACCTTCAAAATAAATAGTGAAAGTAGTTTTTACTAATTGCATGTTGTAGCAATTTGTCAGCATAGTCTCATACTATAGCATTTTGACAGCATTGGTCTATTGGAAATATTATTTACATCTCACCCTAAGTCTTACACCCTAGCTTTTTGTTATTTCTGTTATATCCTGTTAATTTCTAGTTGTGTCAACTCTGATCAAATCAACGTTTTCAAATTCGCCTTCTGAAATCACTTCCTTAATATTACTTTCACTAAACTTTTACTACAATCCCCGTAGACGATATCCGATACTTGTACCACTTTATTACTCAAAAGATGATATTGGGACTAATTGTATACTTGTTGTTGGTCCTGGTTGTAAGTCTGTGGGTGTGTGAACGCATCCTGATCAAGTTTATGGCGCTGCTGCTAGGAATTGGTTTGCTATAAAGTTTTTGTGAAAGTAACTTTAAAGATTTGATTTTTCTAACACCGTTTGATCCGCTTTTAAGAGGTCTATGCCACGGATACACCACTGGGAGTTTCTCGAATTCGATTCAGATATTAATGGAACATTCTGAAAATCCACCTAATATGGTGTTACCTCCCCTAGTTGACGAAGAAGTACCAGATCAAAATCCACCAACCTCTAGTCAAATACCACAATGTCAGCATTTTCTACCAAAAATGCACCACTTTTTCAAAACCCACCAGGACATCCTTTTCAACAAGGGCCACCAAATCATGAAGATGCACATAATGACACGGAATCCGAAAATAATGATCATCCAAGAGCTCAAACTCCAAATATAATTAATCTTGCAAACTCTAGAATTGGAAGAATCATGGACTATGTTATTCCTGATTTTGAGCAATTGAACTCAGAAATAGTTAAACCTCATATGACTGCCCTCCATTTTGAGCTTAAACCAATCATGTTCTATATGTTGCAAACAAATGGACAATTTACAGGATTAGCATCGAAAGATTCTTACTCATATCTAAAATCTTTCATGGAAATTACCGATGCCCTCGTGATCCCGGGAGTGTCTAACGATGCTCTAAGACTTACTTTGTTTCCATTTTCTTTACGGGATCGGGCAAAGTCTTGGTTTAATTCATTACCACCAGGTTTTGTACCATCATGGGGCATGGGGGCAATATGGCTAAAAAGTTTTTGCGAAAATATTTTCCACCCACCAGGATCGCTAAGTCCAGAAATGAAATGTCTTTTTAAACAAATGAACGATGAAGTTATTCCTGATGCATGGGAGAGGTTTAAAAAGTTGTTAAGGAAATGCCATCACCTTGGCATTCCTTACTATATTCAACTCGAGACATTCTACAATGGGTTAAGTCCCATGGCTAAACAAATGTTCGATACGACTGTGGGAGGAGCCTTTATAGCTAGTACCTACAATGAAAGGTATGAAATCCTTGAAAAGGTTTATGCATACAATGGACACTAGGCTGATCCACGTGGCCAACCGCAAAAGAAGACATCCAGAATTCATGATGTAGATGTATACACTGCATTAATAGCACAACTCTCTTCCATAGCCAATATGCTTAAAAACCTAACTTCTAGCCAAGAAGTGCAGCCAACTGTTACTACACTTGTTCCAGCAGTCCTCTCATTACAATGTGTCTGTTGTGAAGGGGAACATTCTTATAAACTTTATCCTCATAATTTTGAATATGTCAATTATGTTCATAATAGATCTAATCCCTATTCCAACACGTATAATGCCAGTTGGAGACAACACCTAAATTTTTCTTGGAACAGTCCAAGTTTGAATCCACCCGTTCATAAACAACAAAAATTTTCAACCTCAACAACATGCAAACAGTTCTAACTCTCAAAATCATCATCACCAAAACTTTCAAACTACTCAACCATCTTTTCAAAACAAACCACCTCCACAACCCGAATCATCATCTTCTTTGGAAGCTATGATAAAAGGATTGGTGGCTCAGTCTCAAGCTTAGCAGCAAATGATGACCCAAAGTCAATCTCTTTTTAGTCAACAAAGTGTTGCTATCAGAAATCTGGAAACTCAAGTCAGTCAACTTGTGCTCAATCAGACCAATAGAGCCCTTGGTACTTTGCCTAGTAACACAGTAGTCCCTAGAGATCTAGAAAATGAGCATGTAAAGGTAATGACTCTTAGGAGTGAGAAGGAATTAGCAGAGACCATACCAAAGGAAAGTGAACAGGTTGTTTCTAAACCTGAGACTACACATATGGTCCCTGTTACTGAAAATCCACCAAAACCAATAGAGTACCAATCATCTGAGGTCCCTGCTTTTGTTCCCCCTAAGTCAGACTATCCTCTGTTATTCCTAGAAAAGATTGCTAGGAATAAGCCAATTGAAGATGAGGTTATAGCAGATCCAAAGACCAAAGTCGTAACCCCATCTGAGCCTCAAGGAATTAAGACCAAGACTTTAGGCATTCTGGACCCATCTTGCTCAACATAGTCAAATAAAGATATCATAAAACCAGTCCCTCTTTATGTTCCTTTTCCCAAAAGGTTAAGGAATCAAAAGGAACAACTGCAAATTAAGAAATTTTTGGAAGTGTTTAAAGCATTGCATATCAACATACCTCTTGTTGAAGCAATTGAGCAAATGCTCTGTTATGCCAAGTTCCACAAAAACATCTTAAGTAAGAAAAAGAAGCTGACCGAGTATGAAACCGTAGCTCTTACTGAAGAATGTAGTGAGCTTCTAACCAACAAGATACCTCTTAAGCTTAAAGACCCGAGAAATTTCACTATTCCCTGTTCTATAGATGGAAAAGAATTGGAAAAGCTTTGTGTGATTTAGGTACTGGTATTAACCTGATGACCTTGTATTTTTTTCAACACCTTAGGCATAGGAGAGGCTAGACCCACCATTGTCACACTGCAATTAGCCAACAAAACCATTGCTTATCCAAAAGGTAAGATTGAGGATGTCTTAGTTCAAGTTGACAAATTCATATTCCCAGCTGATTTCATCATTCTAGATTTTGATGTTGATAAAGATATTCATATCATCTTAGGAAGACCATTCTTAGCCACTGGTGGAACTTTGATTGATGTCCAAAAAGGAGAACTAACTATGAGGCTACAAGACCAGAAAGTCATATTCAATGTCTTTAACTCCTTAAAGTACCCTGATTACTTGAAGGAATGCTCAGGAATAACTAAGATAGAGGCAATGTGTCATGAGGAAGGAATTAGAAAGGCCTGTAAGTTAGAGGAGGAAGAGAATGCTAAGATAGATGAAGAGGTTGTTGAAAAGTTAGATTTGAGAGAGGATGAGAGTATCCCATTTGCTGTTACTACTTTTGAGATGTTGGAAAATAGTGAGCAAAAGAATTTTACCTCGTCTATAAAATCACCACCTGACATGGAGTTGAAGAGACTCCATCTCATTTGAAATATGCTTTTCTAGAAGAAAAAGGCAAATTGCCTGTTATCATATCATCTACCCTAGACTTGCATCAAGAGAAGAAGCTTGTAGACCTGTTGAAGCTACACACAAAAGCTATAAGATGGAACATTGCTGACCTTAAAGGGATTAGTCCTTCTATTTGTCAACATAAGATCATCCTAGATGACAAGAACTTCAAGTCTATAGAGCCTCAAAGAAGATTAAACCCTGTCATGAAAGAGGTAGTGAAAAGGGAAATTTTGAAATGGTTAGATGCAAGAATAATTTTTCCAATAGCCGGTAGTTCTTGGGTTAGTCCAATCCAATATGTACCAAAGAAGGGAGGGTTTACAGTTGTCACCAATGACAAAAATGAACTCATTCCCACTAGAGTAGTATCCAGATAGAGAATATGCATAGACTATCGTAGGGTAAACAAAGCCACCCAAAAGGACCATTTTTCATTACCTTTTATTGATCAGATGTCAGATAGGTTAGCCGGAAAGGAATATTACTATTTTTTGGATGGATACTCAGGATATAATCAGAGAGCCATATCACACAAGGACCAAGAAAAGACCACTTTCACTTGTCCCTATGGTACTTCTGCTTTTAGGTAAATCCTATTTGGACTTTGCAATGCTCCTACAACTTTTCAAATATGCATGATGTCCATATTATCTGACATGCTTGATATGGGTTGAAAGCTATAATATCAGTGCAATGGTGAAGTCCGAAAGGAATACCTTCAAAATAAACGGTGAAAATAGTTGTTACTAATTGCATGTTGTAGCAATTTGTCAGCATGGTCTCATACTGTAGCATTTTGACAACATTGGTCTACTAGAAATAGTATTTACATCTCACCCTAAGTCTTACACCCTGGCTTTCTGTTATTTCCTGTTAATTTCTAGTTGTGTCAACTCTGATCAAATCAAAGTTTTCAAATTCTTCTTCTGAAATCATTTCCTTAATATTACTTTCACTGAACTTTACTACAATCCCTGTGGACGACATCCGGTACTTGTACCACTTTACTCGAAAGACGATATTGGGACTAATTGTATACTTGTTGTTGGTCCTGGTTGTAAGTCTGTGGGTGTGTGAACGCATCCTGATCAGGCGACCATCTCCATCTCTACCTCCTCTTCTACTATAACAACATCCTCCACCGCCTCCATAACCACCATCCACCATCGTCCATCGCCACCTCTACTATAGTCGACCACCTACCATTACTGTCCATTGCCACCACCACCATTCGCCACTTCCAACTCCTCTACTACAACAACCTCCTTCACCACCTAGACAACCACCCTCGACCACCGACTACCACCATCCATTGCCACCTTTACAACCACCATCAGCCATCGACCACCACCACCCATTACCACCAACACTACCACTGTTGGCCACCTCCAACTCCTCCTATACCGCAACAACCTCCTCCATGACCTCCACAACCACCATTGACCACCGACCACCACTGTCCATTGCTACCTCTACAACCACCATCGGCCATCGACCACCACCATCCATTGCCTTGATCACTATCACCGTTGGCCACCTCCAACTCCTCCTCTACTGCAACAACCTCCTCCATTAACTCCACAACCACCATCCATTGCCACCTCACCTCCCCCATAACCACCACTATCTTCACTACATCAGCCACAACTACCTCATCCACCGTTGTCAACCACCACCACCACCACAATCCACCATATTTACGTCCTCTATAACTACTATCGTCCACCAACCACCACTGCCTCTACCTCCATAACCATCGTCGGCCACCGAGTACCACCGTCCATCGCCACTACTACCGTCGGCCACCACCACCTCCACCATAACCAAAACCATCTCCACCACCACGATTGCCATCAATTATATCAAAATTTTCATTCAAATTTGCTACCATTATATATGTATGTATTCATTTTTATAAAAATTGTGTAAAAATATTTATAAATTAAATTCTTTAATAATTACTTCATTTTTGTTAATTATAACTATTATATAATATTTAAAATCATCAAATAACTTTTGAGGTAACTTGTCTAGTTTTGTCTCGTACGATATTAGATGTATCAAACAATAAACATATGCCCGTGCATGTCTACTAGGAGTGAGCAGTGGAACTGGGTACCCACTTGCGAAACCAGAATTGCCTTGAAACTACCGGTTCCGGAACGAAACCGATATGAGTGGTTCCGGTTCCTAAAATACGGAACCAATTGAGAATGATTCTAGTTCTCAATTTTTCAGAATCGTTACCCGCCGGAACCGGTTCCGGGACCAGGTACCTGGAACCGGCGGGTACCCTAAACCGGAACCGGCGCGTACCCGATATTTTTCAATTAAAAAAATAATTATTTTTCTTTTAATACTAAATTTAAATTAGGTCAAGAACTTAGAACGCTAGATTAGATTTTTGGTCCTGCCTCTACGCCTCATCGACTCATACTCTCAAGCCTGAGGCCTCTTACCGTGAGAATTTGAAACGAGATTCAGAATCATCGCAGTCTCGAGATAAAATGATTCATATTTTTTCATGTTTAATTGAATTCGTAGTATATAATCGTTAAACTTTGAACATTTAAAATTATATAGTATGTAATCGTTAAACTTTCAACATTTACTATTAGTCTATTATGGTTTGTATTCGTTAAACAATATTTGTAACCATTATTCCGTATAATTTGTATTTTTGTTTATTTATTTAGTGGTTTGACAATGTTTTATTTTTTTATTTATAAATAACAAATTTAATATTTTAGGAAGCGGGTATCCGGAACCGGTAGCGACGGTTCCGGTTCAAAAAATTCAAGAACCGCTCTAACATGTTCCGATTCCGGTTCCAATATCTCAAGAACTGCTGGTTCCGATTCAAATAGGACGGGTACTCACGTATGCTCACATCTAATGTCTACTTAGCTACCAAAGGACCGATAAATTACAAACCATTGAGCGGGTGTTTGAGATTGCTTATTTTAGCTGCTTTTTGACTTATTTTAGTCTGGTACCGGTGATAAGCTAAATGCTAATGTTTGAATGAGGAAAAATAAAACTGCTTATACCGGTGCCAAACAAGTAATAAACAGTTTTTGATAAGTTAAACCTTCTTGACTTATGAAAAACTGTTTATTACCAGTTTACCATTTTAACCCTGTTTTATTAATGTTTGTTAATTATTAATCTTATTGATATAAATTATTAATCTTATTGATATAAATTTTTGTCAAACATATTATTATAAATGATGAAAAATAAATGTTTACATGTTAAAAAATCAAATAAGTTAATAAGTACTGTCCTTTTTGGTCATTTTACATATATAAACAAAATTTTCCAAATACTAAAAAAAACTTATCAACTTATTATTTTTTGACACTGTTATAAGCTAATCCAAACACTTTTACAAACTCAGATTTGATATAAGTTAACAAGCACTATAAAAAAAAAAAAAAAAATCCCAAACACCCCCACAAAAAACCCTGATCGTAATACGTAGCATCCCTATACTGCACCGTGCGGCTCTGCCCCTTTGTTCTCCATCTCGCCTGTGCAGCAAGCTCCGGCGCCCCTTTGTCCTCCTTCCCACTGTTGTCTAGGTATGGTGAATCCCTCTTATGCAGTTATGCATCTCCTTCTCTGTGTTTGTCAATGAACAACATCAGCACAAGTCTAGCTTCCCCCCCCCCCCCCCCCCCCCCCTCTTAAACTAATGTGGTTTATGCTTGAACTCTCAAGTTGATTACACTAATATGTGTGCTCCATCTTGTAAGACATTGGGGTTTTTCTTTTTCAGAATTTCAAGAAAACATACTCTCAAGTCTCTGTTGAAACTTTATACTTTCAGTTTCTGTTATGGTGATGTTTGTTTTCCATATCATAAAGAAACTTCAATTCCTACAATAATTCTAATGATGATGTTTATAGAACAAACGAAAGGCATAAAGGGACGTCGACGAAACGAATACAGGCAAAGAATTTTATAATAGTTGTGTAGGTTAAATTGACGGAGGGTTCTTTATTCGTGCGCCGGAGTAAGAGTGCGAAGCAAATTTGCAAATGGAAGCATCCAATGACGCAGCACCGATCCTGGACGTGAGGTCGGTGGTTGAGGCCATTTCTACCGGCGATGATGATTCTCCTGTGTACCAGCTGGAAAGCCTCTGTATGCGCTGCCACGAAAACGTACTCTCTATCTCTCTCTATACACATACGCACAAATGTACCTACATATGTAATCACCTTTATTTGAGGATAAGAAGCTACAGGTTGATTTGAGCTTGAAACAGGATGTTTTGGTATCAAATTGATGTGAAATATAAGCTTTTCCAGAATAGTGATGTGTCTTTCATGTCCCAAGAAATTGCAATTTGGCACATAATTTTTCAGTTGGTAGCAACTGTTACAAACTTAATATTTTTTTCAAGTCTGTCCAGAAAAGAAAACTGATATTTAACACATATTTCAAGTATCAATATCTATAATACCTCTCATAACACAAAGCCCAGAAAACTTGTGCACCATAATTAATCTCAAATATGTATTGTTAATGGGAAACTGGTAAATTTGCAAAAGAATCTCTCTCAAAAGGATATGTTTCCAAAATAGTAAGTTTTGCATTTACTTGGGGCGAAGGGAGTGGTTTAACTTGAGCCCCTTGGGAGATGGAACCAGAAAAATTCTTTTAAAATGATCCGATTCTTATGTCTTTTTATTGTAAACTTTTGTTGAAAGTACAAGCAGAAGTTTACAAACTGAATTGCGCCAAGTGTTAATTTATGAAGGGATTGTTTAAATCTTTTATGTGAGGCTAATGAATGTGTGCTAAATTATGATTTTCTGAGATTACATTAGACTTTTACTGTCTATATTTGGTGGTTAAATTTTGGGAGTCTGGATGGATAAATTTCAATTTTCAAAGGGTTAGACCAAAATTAGTAAAAGAACTATGTTGAATTCGCCTGTGATCATGACCGGGTTGGCATGGCAATGGTTCAACCAATTGTCCATGTAACCTTGAGGTTGGCGTTATATTTTTATAAGGAAAAAATATGGGTGTATTAGTATATGATTATCCAGCAAGGAACTTGTATCAGTTTTCAAGTCAAAATTTACCCACTGCCAGTTCATATAAAAGCTCATATCGTCTCATTTTTTTATTAAGTATCCATATATGTGTATGGGTTTGTGGGTGCTCCATGACTACTTTTCTCACATCGCTCATATCAACAGGGGACAACAAGACTTCTGTTGACATTGATTCCGCACTTTAGAAAGGTATAATTAACTTTTGGTTACTATGTAGTTATTCTCCAGTTGAATTAATTTCCTTGCTGCAAGTTTAGTATGATAAAACAGCAATTGACGTAGTCTTTGTGTATTTTTCCAAACCCAACTTTGATAAAATCACGTTGAATGCTGTTTTTTCAATGTCAAACTTGCTATGGCAGATGACGAATTTTTTCCCTATCTTATACTAGAGAAAATATTTCTCTTTTTGTAGTGAGAGCTAAGTTTTTCGTTTTTAATGCAGATATTGTTGTCAGCCTTTGAATGCCCTCACTGTGGCGAGAGGTAAGTTCTTTTAGTTTTTTTAGCTTCATGTGATGCTTGTAACAATCATATATGCCATCTGTTCCTGAAAGGACGTGATTTGCTTGCTCTGATCAAAATGGATGACTTCAAAGTTTAGAACCGAGATGGAACATTGCAAAGTTCAACAACTTGTTTTATCTTAGTATTTTTTCAAATAAAATGTAGTTATTTTCTTAAAAATTGGAAGAGTCCATAGTTCCATACTAATATTCAGTTTTAAATGTATTCCGTTTGACCTCAAAGTCACTGTACTTTTTTGCAACCTTGGGGGTATAATGTTGGTGATTTCACTTTGAGTGCCTTTTAGGTGATGGCTTTGACCTAAGGTTTCGTTAATAGTTGAAAAATGTTAATTTTTTCTGTTTTTCTTTAGGAATAATGAGGTGCAGTTTGCTGGTGAGATACAGCCCCGAGGGTCTCGTTACCGTGTGGAATTTGCGTCAGGTGATCAAAAGGTTGAGGGAAGTAGAAGTGGATGCTTAGGGAATAAAACCTGTTTTGTTTCCGCTCAGAATTTGGTTATAATTTAGATGGGCCAGAAGATGAATTAGAAGTAATTATGATACTGTACCAAGTATATTTGTGATGTGCTTTTTTCATAACGATGATATTGCATGGACATAATATCTGATTTGATCAAATGCAGAGGCAGACAGTCAATGTGGGTTATGATATTAATGGCCTACCTACATGTTGTAATTTGGACATAATATAGGGAGGCTAGGGCTTATGTGTTTAGAACAATGAACGGACATCGAACTGTTATTTTGTAGCATCTTTGGAGCAAATTGTCTGATATCGTTTCAACAAAAATTCCATGCCAGCTTTTGTGATCTTGGAAAATTTCACTGAGTGTATATCTTTCTGGTTAGAGTCTGTAGACAAGGATTATTCTTTTTTTTTCTTTCACAAGTATATCTAGGAATCACATTCATTAAAACATTATATTAATGTTTTTCTTTGCCCAAATGCAGATGCTTAATCGTCAAGTCGTAAAATCTGAGACTGCCACAATCAAGGTATTCGGTTGTGTTCAGTTTACTTGCAATATGGAATACTGAATTTACCTTTTAGTCGCTCTGAATACTATTGGCCTAGATTTATTGATGGATGAGTCAGGTGATCTTGGTCATTGTAGTAATGTCTCAAATGAGATAGAATTGTCGATTGGACACTAAAAGAATTCAGTCCTTGGTTGTTTTCGTCGAAAGACTGAAAGCACCATGATGTCCATTTTATTCCATTTTGCTTTAGGCTTTTGTTTGTTTAAAACCATATTTTCTTCTATTGATTTATTTTGTGGCATGCCAATGCTATACCGTAATATGGGGCTACCTTTTGTTTAATTTCAGGGATATTTACCAAAATTCATGCTTATAGCAGAGGAAAACATTTTTTTTATTTGATATGTTATATGTTTTCCTCTTTTATGCCGGAGCATCTTGATTATTGGTTCACAATTTTTTTCCACCTAAAACATGTTGCTGATCCTCATAAGTTTCGCCAGCTGAATACTTAGGGTAGAATTTCATGTTAAAGAAGTGGAACATCAGCTAGTATGTTTGACTTCCTGATTTGCTGGTTTTAAAGTAATTCACTTCAATAACAACTAGGATGACAATGGGAAAAGTAGGCAGCAAAGGAAATGAGGAACAAGTCTATATTTGTTATTGGTAGACACACTACCATCTCTTCGTATGCCAAACTAACATATGGACTCGCTTGCTCATGTTAACTCACATGTAGACACTGTAACATCAGTTTCTTTCTCTCTTGCAGACACATAGAAAAATATCTTCTCTAAATAGCTTAGGTTTTTTACATTTTGGTGTTCTTAATTCATTATAACTACATCACACAGATCAGAAAAATCATCATTTTCCAACTCCATTTAGCTTGGACCATTTCCGTTGTGTACGAGTCATTTATGATGTTAGCAAACCATTCTTAACTACACTTTTTATATCATGTACCTATGGTCTTCTATGATTGTAGTGATGGGAAAGGTTAAAATTTTGGATAAATTTTCAGTTTCCTTACGTTATGCACTGCTTCCACTAGCACTGAAAGCATCAGGAATAGGTTCACCGAGTAACTGTGTGAACGGGTTCCTTTGGAAGTAGAATTATATGATTATTGGAGAGACTTTCATTTTGAGTGGTAGTTACGTTTCAGGAAACCGATTGCATGTAAACCCCAGGTTTGTTGGAGGTTATGTACTGGTTATATATTTTAAAAGACAATTGCCCCATTGGCTATCTTATGTTTTTGGGATGCATCTTTAGACCAAGAAGTATATGCTTTAATATCCTAAAATATGATCATGTGTTGAGTCAACTTACAATTCTCTGAAACTAGTTTATCCAAATATATGTGTGACACATTGATTTCTTGCACTCCCAGTTGAATGTATTTTACATTTGTTTAGACTATGTCTAAAGTTCATGTTACGAGGATGTTGCAGTCCCTCTTCCCTGTAAGATTGATTTAGATTAATGATGAAAGTATGTTGAATGTTGTAGTTATGCTTTTTCAAGAATGTTGAAATCAATTGGCTTCTTTTTTATATGCGTGTAGATTCCTCAACTGGACTTTGAGATTCCTCCAGAGGCACAACGTGGATCTTTATCTACTGTACGCATTCTATCTCATGCTCACTTGAGTTCTTTGCATTTCTTGCAAGTGTGCTGTTGCATTATTCTTTCTTGGTGACATTTACATAATCCTTGGCAAATTGGAATTCATGCATCTTATCTCTGTTACATGGGAGAATTTGGGGTTGCCTTGAGTTTGTATTTTGCAAGGACTTATCTTGATACAGTAACATATATCTGTATAGCTTTTCAGTTCTCTAGTTTCCTGATAGCAAATAATGAATAAGCCTCCTATTTCTATGTTATGTTTCTATTGGCTTAGTTAAATGTTGCATATACCTTCTTGACAAGTTGAATCCTACTGTATTCTACAAATATCAAGATGATGTTTCATGTATAGAATGGGATCATACTTTTTTTACCATAATTTGCATAGTTTTCTTACTGCTTACTTGAGTGTTGATTCCTGTGTATTCCTATTAAATATGTGACTAAAGGAACATCTCATGTTTGTGTTTGATATATGGAGAGAAAACTAAAATTTTAACTTCCCTAAACTCTAGCATGTGCATGATTCCCTCAGATTTTGTTTAATTTTGCTTTACCTTTCTGTTGAAGGAGATTTCCTATTATTTTATCACCTCATATGGCTTTTGCTTCATGCTTTTCTTTATTTCATATTCAACTTGAGCTCACATGTTTTTTTCGCATTCTAGTATTTGGGATTGTGGTGTATTTTAGGCCTTATGTTTATGAGATTCACTTTCACTGAGATATCTTTGAAGGTTGCTAGGGCTTGGTCTTTTGTGAAATCTGTTGAACCCTCATGTTGTCTCCACTCGGATGTAACCTAAATATTTGAGCTGATTAAATTATTGTGTTTTAATTTGTTGTCCATTTTTCTTCCTCACCTTTCTCTATAAAATAGACATTGATATCGAAGTGTATTAGTTCTCACTTTGTAATAATGAGATAACAATCTCCATTAATAGCCACTTTTTGTTGTCTGATCTGTTTTGAAAAGATGCTGTCATGCCCATATTGACACACTTCCAACCATTTTCTTAATGCAAATGCTTGAACTTAATATCTGGGAAGGGATTGGTTGCAGCTTGTTTAGAGCATGCTTTGACTTTGTCATTGAACCAAACTTCAGTCGTGAAGCAATCTTGAGCGGAGCTTGTTTGTGTTTGATCTATCGTGTATTGCCATAAGATGGCATACCTACTGTTCCACAGATAATAAGCATGCATCGGTCAATGGAAAAAATACATTTTGTATTGAGAGATAACCATATTGATCTTTAAATATAGCTTTTCATTTTTTGCTGCTATCCGTGGAATATTTTTATAAAGGATTCAGGGATAATATTTTTCTTCTCAGCACTTGTCTTTTTTATCTATGAGCATGAAAAGCCTGCTCACATTCAGCTTGCTAACTTGTCTAGTTAGCCTGAGCTGATTTTCTAGTGAGCGTGTCCTATTCAGTTATGCACTGTATTCTTTGGCTGAGCAGTCATCAGTAGAATATATATTGGTGAGAATAGTTTTTGTATCCTGGAGCATACTGACACGTCTAGGTTATCTGCCTCAGGTGGAAGGGATATTACTAAGAGCTTCTGAAGAATTGCAAATCCTTCAAGAAGAGAGAAAGGTACTTATTCATTTGGCACTGCAACCTTCCATGATATCCTCTTCTAGTTGTCCTTTCCTGTGGCCTGACTTTCACATGCTGCCATCTTTCAGAAAGTGGATCCTCAAACTGCGGAGGCAATAGACCAGTTTATACTAAAATTAAAAGAGTGTGCCATAGGAAATTTGTCTTTTACTTTCATCCTTGATGATCCTGCTGGTAACAGTTTTGTAGAGAATCCGTAAGTTACTCTTTCATGTAAAGATATATTATGATGTTCTGCTGAAAATGCACTCATGATTTTTTTTCTTTGGTTTGTGAAAGCTATGACAGCTCTTTGCAATTCTCCTAATAATACTTTGTCCATCTCTGTACTAAACATTTTAGCATCCTATATTCTATTATATCTTAGAGGCATATGGTGGTTGGGTTAGGGGGAATCATTCATGATACTTTCATTTACATTGCAGTTTGTTAGATGGTTGAAATAATTTCTTCTATTTATTAAAATTTTCTACTAAAAGCAGTACATTTTGGCAACAGTTTTGCCCCATCTCCAGATCCATCATTAAGTATTGAGTTCTATGACCGAACTCGTGAGCAACAAGGATTGCTAGGATATGTTGCTGATCCAACACAATCAGCAGAAGTTGGCAATGAAGCATTATCAAATAATTTTCCATCTCAAGCAACTGTTGAACCACATGGGTCAGTTGGAGCAGTGGCTGGCCGTCGAGCAATAGCCCAAGGAAATAGTGCAGAACTCGCTGAAGCTCTGTTTCGATATACGGCACCAGAAGAGGTAAGTTAACCATCAAGAAGTCACTGAGATAAATCAAGAATATGTTTAATCTTTTAAGTTTCTGTTGACAGGTGATGACTTTCCCATCAACATGTGGTGCTTGTGCTGTAAGCTGTGAAACTCGCATGTTCCTCACCAGTATCCTCTTTTCTTGCCTTCAACAAGATAAAATATGTTTGGTTTGTTTCTTGAAGAACAAACAAAGATCTAATAAAATTAGTATAAGATATAAGTGGTATTAATTACTATTTCGCAGATAGAAATATTTAACATCTAATCTTCAACTTCTACCAAGTACTTTCCCTTTCGTTTCACTTTCTTTGAGAAAGCCTGTTTTTAGTTTGGCTATTAAATTCAATTTATTTGAAAGAAACTTCTTGTGTCTGATTCCTTCGGTTATCTTTCCATGCTTAACAATGACCCTTTTTGTATGAAATCATTTTTTTACTGATACCAACATCTTAAGCCTTACTGTTAACTTCTACCAAGTACTTTCCACCTTTTTGTTGCCTGCTTCTAGAAAGAAAGTCTTTAGTTGGGCTCAATTCAATTTGCATGAAAGAAACTACTTTTAGCTGCTTGGAGACAACACATTAGGGTAGCGGATTTTGGGTAGAGTCTGTTATTAGGACAGCTTCTAGGATTAGGTAGCCCAGGGCTTGTGGATAGGAGTTTCTCTTTGTATGTCTGTTTCTTGTGCATTGTACTCTCTGTATGTACTATTTTATATGTTTCTCGCTCTCTTGTCCTGTACTTTCCATGGCCTTTTGTGCACCTTTTACTTTTATGCCATTTTCCAATGTTGGATAAGCTTTTCTAACTTTTCCTTGTATTCTGTTTGTTCCGGTAACTATTTTTGGTCCCTTCGTAACCTTCTAAAAATATGTTTAAGCCGCGGATCTTCATGGAATCCTACCCCTAGGGGTAGAGGCATGGTCTGCCTACATCATACCCTCCTCAGACCCTACCTCCAGGGATATATGGTTTGGTTAAGCTGTTTGTAGCTGATTCCTTTGTTTCCCTTTCCATCCTCACTGATGCCCCTTTTTCTAGTCTAAGCATCATGCCCAAGTCTGTATAACAATTTTACGAGGGAACTAGGTAAAATGGTTCATGATGGGAATGATGAGGTTTTGGCATTAGAGCAGAAGGATGTTATTGTTTGTATTGTAAATGGTTTTGATATTATGTGGCTTGATCCTCTTGTCTTCATACCTTTTACAAAGATATATGTGCATGCATGGAATATTGCTTTGTTGGATGTATTGCTTTGTCCTCCTTGTTGTGCTTTTCTTGGATGTTGACATCATTGTTGACCTAAATCCAGCGACCATTTGTTAACTCGCAGGAAAAGTTTTATTTGTCTCATGGGAGATGGTTGTTTCATGAGCTGAAGATGTTTTATTTCTTTTTTTGGTCCCTTCCTAAACCTTAAAATACCTTTACATGTGAAGTCTCAGGAGTGCTTCATGAGGATTGAAGACGGGGAGCTTACTGATTTAACGCGTTAGGTCGAATTTGTTTTTAAGGGGGCTATGTTGTTACTCTTTATATGCATGTTTCTTTCAGATATTGGTTTAACTTGACTTCAATTAGAAATCCCTTACTTTCAAGAAGTAATCGTCATGGCATCTACATGTGATGCTTGTGGCTATCGTAATTCTGAGGTTTGTAGGCATTCTATTTTATTTTTCTCTGTCTTACCTTTCTTTTTCCACTTTAGTGTGGGAGTTTGTACATGGAATTTTAAAGTTATTCTTTATGATATCCTTTAGATATTCTCACAGTATATCCCATTTCCTGCAGTTGAAGTCTGGCGGTGCTATTCCTGCCAAGGGAAAGAAAATTTCTGTTACTGTGAAAAACTTAGGTGACTTGAGCCGTGATGTGATAAAGGTATGTTCCCTCTAAATTGATATGTGGACTGCCATTAAATTTGCCTTGTTTTCCAAAACGTGGCCTCAATGCAATTTATGCTGCTTATTGCAAGGAGTGATTTTGTAATTCGATCTTCTTTCTCTTCTCTTTATAATCTGCTGGGTGATGCATATTGCTAGTTGCATGATGTAGCAACACCTAGTGTTATTTTTGTTTTTATAAAACTTGGATTTAAAGGAGCCTCAATTAGAAAAATGGCAAATGCATTTTCTTTGCTTTACTCTCCGCAAGCTCAAACAGTTGTTTATTTTTGGATATTTAGCCCATTCTCCAAAGTGATTTCTAGTTCATGATTTTATGTGTGACAATACTTCAAATAACTGTGTTTCTGGGTTTGTAACACAAAATGATATAATTTATTATTATACCATGCCTTTTTGGACGTTTGATCATTGATGTAGATGGATCTCTTAGTTTTTTAGTGGTTTTCTTATGTAGGTGTCATTCTATTGTGTTGATATGTTAGGGCTTTCGATTAATTTTCTGCCGTGTTTTTCTTATATCATTGAATATAGCTTTTTTTCTTTATCTATTGTTCTCATACAACAATTATTTAATCTTCTATTAATATAGGGTAAATGATCACTCTCCAATAAAAATAATTTATAAATAAAATCTTGGACTGGCATTTGCAAATTGGTGCTTATGTTGAAACTCGGTTCCATTTATCATTCACTCTCCTGTTCTCTCACTCTATACTCGATATTTATTATCAGGAGTACCCAAAGTATCTCTGCTTAACTATTCTAGATTATTATTTAGGAATGGCCAAATGGGCTTAGGCCTCTAGATTGGTGCAAGACAAAACTCAATTCCATTTATTAGTCAAAACACTTTATAAGGATAAAGTAAAAGTAATCCTACTCTTGACTTCAAAACCTTAATGTAATGGATTGCGATATAGATGCAGTCTTAATGTCATGTACCTAAGAGCATCTTATTCCACATAGTGTCCAAAATATTTTATGCGTATGGTTTTCTCACAACTTATCCACTTGGCCCATTGTCTCTTAAGTGTCTTTGTTGGTTACTCTTGTATTGCAAAAGGCTATAGATGCTCTGGAGGTATTACACTTCAATGATTAGTTTTAGACTTTTGGTGAGTCACTTCTTTATTTTTTTTACAGTCAATAGTATTACCACCTCTATTTTGGATGTATATTGTCCTTGCTGGTGCTATTCGATCTTGACGTCTCCCTTAGTTAGATTTGAAGATCATCTTATCAAGGACGATCACGAGGTTTGTATGGATTAACTGTCGTGTTTTATGGTAGATGGTGAGGCCTTCTATAGCTGATGAAGAATCTCTGAGTTATGAAAACTAACCAAATTTAGAAAATTTTCTGAGGATGGCACAACCATCATTATTGTTCATTGAGTTTGGGGAGTTAAAAGCTGCACCTTAAATACCTTGTGTGCATATGATTAACGCAATAATGGCATGCTCTCTAGAGTAGAAGTGAAGTTAAAGCAAAATTTAGGCCTTTAAAGTATAACCTCAATATGAAGTAAACACAAGTGAAACATAGCTCACTCAGGGAATTCATTAGTTAACTAGAACATAACTAAGTAACTACAACTACATTCCAACAAAACCTAAACTATAGGAAAACATAACTACCAAAGTTATAAGATTTAAACAAATAGACTAGAGGAACCATGAAAAATCAGACAACTTTGGATTTTCAACCCACAACAGATAAAGTGATAAACCACCTCTAGGTGTAGCTGAACTCCTCTGGAGATGCTAAGTCCTCATAGGTCTTGAGTGGAACGTGATTGGATGAGTAATGGATGCAATGAAAAGAAACCACACAATTACTTCAAGCTCTTAGATTTGAATACTAGTTGTAGGGAAAGGAAATAATTGAAGATTAATTGATGCTTAGCCATTTTATAGCTTAAATTGACCCTTGGATAACCTTCTGATGCCTCATCTCTTGTATCCACGTGGCATTAGGAACCTTCAAATGCATAAGGTTGAGTCATCTTGATTTTTTGCAAATTTCTCTGCGAGCATACACACCATCTTCTAAAATAGAAATGAAATACTTAGCAGTGCTGGTGTGTAAAATTGGTTTGGTGGCACATAGGTGGAAGAGTGAAATAAATGAGTGTATATAAGTTGGCCCGTTTTCTTATTAAATTTCAATTATGGGAAATGGTGGGGGCTCCACAAGGGTGCAACAAACCCTTATGAGTGCGACTGTGGGCGGGGGCACAATGTGGTGCTCAGATGGCATACTTTGCACTTCAAACACATGCATCATCAAGGGCCATTTCGGGCCGCAAAATTCATTTTCAGGCTATAAAGGGTGTTGTTAAATTTACACAACCCCAAAAGGCTATGGTAATCGAATAACCATGCAAGTATAGATGTCTCCTCAATACCGTCTTAAAACAAGCAATAAAATGGTAATAACCAAGTATCGCATTCCACAGGAATAGGTTTCTTAAGTTGCAAGATCTCATGGTGAAAAGCTAATTTCAGATGGTGAAGTCGAAGAAATTGGTTTTTTGTAAGTTCAAAACTGATGAAAGTAATAACAAGTAAAATAAAAGCATTGGTGCAAAATCCAGTTGGATTTTCGTCTTAAATTGCCAGAGGACCTTGCTATAGCATGACTCAATGGGATGCTGCAGTAATAGTTCTCTTTTCCCACCATTGTTTCTAACGACTCTCTTTTGAAATTAGGCACTCACCGGCAATGTCCTCAATGTATCTATGATGAACACAAATCCGAGCATGGCTAAATCTTACCTTTATTCCCATATAGAGTTAACTGCATCAGTTGCTGAAGCCTGTCGGCGTCGCAACATTTCTATAACTCTCTAAACCTTTGTATTTACGGTGGCAACATTGAACTCAACTCATTTGGTCAAAATAACGAATTGTCAACTTGTCAAAGATTGCCCAAATGAAACATTAAAGTTTATAGTGACTAGTGGAATAAATAGCTCTTATGAAAGCAATTATCCACTAGCACATTAGCCTACTCTTCCAACCTTCCCCTCACACCTAAGCTAGGTATTTAGCTCATCATTGCTTGAAATGAAATACAAGACATAAATGCAAAGATTGAATGTAAAGACATTTAAAGTAAATAACAAGAATTAAGATGGTTGTTGTAGCAACAGCGAAGAGTACCAAAAGATTCAAATTAATTTGATTCAAACTTTAAAAGGTAATAGTAACTAAACTAAATAGCTCTTTGAGCTATTATCTCATGATAATTAAAGATGAAGTAGTCCCCTATTTATACAAAGAGGAGAGCAATTAACAACAAAAATAAGTACTAGTCACATAACCTATTATCCAAGGGTTTACACCACCAGGAATCTAATTAAATTACTACTAGAGATGCCCTATCAACTCAAGTTTTCGTACCAACTCCATCAATATTCGCTTGTATCATCTTGAATTCAACTTTTCTTCATCATGGAGTGGATAGGATCATTGAAAGTAAATCCTTAAAAAAGATTATGAAGTTTTAGTCATCTTCTGCTGCTTCATCCCTCCACAGTACTCAGTTTGATGCCGCAGCAGTTTCAATATTCAGCCCAAAACTCACCAAAATAGATTATTTCCACTTTCAAGCTCCAAACAAGAAAGATATAAAATCGTAACAAAAAAGACTCGAATCATCCATTTAAGGGTGTAAAACACAAGAGAAAAGTGGGGTACATAATGTTATAGAACGGACAAAGATCATACTCATCAAAGGGCCATGGAACCAAACAGTCATGACGGTTCAGTTTGTATGCTGTTTGGAAGCACCTGTTCGAGTGTTCGGCAACAGTCATGACTCCTTGTGAAGGGGTGTCACAACCTTATGATGGTTTGTACCTGGGCATCTTGATCAATATGCGACGCTTCGCCAATGTTCCTTAGCGATGGTTACCTAGGCTGTTTGTGCCTGTTCAAACAGACGTGAGGGTCTGGACCGTCGCCTTTGTTGCCACATGTAAAAAATCTGTTTAATGGCGATGTTTAAGGAACTGTCACTAAAGGCCTATATATATATATCTCATTTATTCAACACAAAATCAATAAATCTCTTGCACCAGATTGCCATAACTTGTGTTGCTATTGTAGCACACCTTTTGGTTTCTTGTAATCCTTGATTACTCACTAGTTCACTGGAACTATCAACATCTTAAAGACATTTTTGTTAAGGCTTCAAGGAAGGTGAAAATTGATATTATTTGTAGAAAGTTGGGCATGAGACGCATATATACTCTAAATCTGAGAAGTGTTGCTGTATTAGGACTTTCCATTATGTCTACATTATTTTCTGCTATCTAGGTTTTTTTATGTAGTTTTCCGTTGTTTAGAAGATCTCTTAGTCCACTCTATTCATGTAAGGCTTTTATTAATGATAAAATCTCACTTGAAAATCTAAGGAAAGAAAGATTGTATGGAGTGATTAAGGTTGCCCCAAGTGCAATGAGTTCTCCATGTAGCTTTTTCTGTGTACTTGTAAGTGACTACTAATTGATCGCTCCTGTTTGCTAAAATTAATTTGATTATTGCTCTCAAGACATGTTCTTGACATCTTGTTATACATATTATCTGCTGTTTCTTTTCATATCATTGCCTTCCCTCTTGTTCTTTTTTCATAAGTTGTTCCTTTTCTTGTTTGAAATTAGTTATACAATGCAAATTGTAGAATGAAGCTGTAACCAGCTTATTTTGATATATTTTCAGTTAAAGTTATTCAATACTTGGGACTGGTGAGAACCTTCCAGCTGTTCATAAGTTCTAAAATTTTATTTTTGTATCAGTCGGATACTGCCAGTGTAGTAATTCCAGAAATTGATTTGGAGCTAACCAGTGGTACGTTGGGAGGAAGCGTGACAACCGTTGAAGGTTTAATTACAAAGATAAGTGAAGGTAATTATTTTCTTGAGTTTAGTTTCTTAACTTGGTATATTGTTCGTTCGAGCAGAGAAGGATATCTGGATATTGCCTAGCAAAAAATTTCCATGTGCGGAAGGTCTTAATGGGCTTTGGAACTCTGCAATTTTGTAGTCACTAGAAGAAGTTGGGTTAATGATATGATTTTTGCACCAAGTTTACGAAAAAAGGAAGATGGAAACATTATTATAAGCATGCTCACAGCTATTTAGTTGGTATGAGTAGCTTTGATAGAATATTAAAGGAAAGGTATTGCCTAAGTTAAACTGGTGCTTAATGAATATAGAACTGGAATCCATTATAAAGACGATAAATATTAAACAAGTATGACTCAAAATGAACATGGTCACTTCTTAGTTCTTACAATATACAAAGTATCAAAGGTGTATAAGTCGGTTGTGCATGAAGGAACTACACGCAGGGCAAAGTGGGTTCTTCATTGTGAACAATTATACACAGAAATTAATTTGACAAATATTATTGGAAGTAAAATATACACCTTGAGTAGAAGGGCACTAGGTTGGCACAAATCCCTGTTGGTATTGGGCTTTAGCGGTACCTTTAGCCGGTGTAGGAGTTGGCAAAGCTACCCTAGCCAAGACTGAATTGAGAATTGTTTCCTATGGCCGAGTCCCAGTGGTTAAAACAAGACTTGAGGAGTTTATTAGATTTATGCTCAAACTATATTAATGGAACATCAACAGAAATGAAAGAAAAAGTGTTCATGGGACTGCAAGTTCATGGTAAATAGTACTTATACATGAGAGATGATGTGACAAGCTAACTAACTCTGTCTAGTCTTCACCACTAACCACTTGACTGAATAACAACCAATTGCCTGATAGAAAAACTACAATTTAGACCATGAGCAATCATATTATACACATGTTGTGATCACTAGGGCTGTAAGTGAGAATTGAAAAATTCTCGGTTTCTCAAGCCGTGTGAGCAATGCATGAGTTGAACTATATTTTACTACCCCACCCCCCCTCCTTGCCCGTGCTCCCACGAGTTGGCAATATGCAAGGATTATATGTTCAACTTGTAAAGACGGTCGACTCTGAAGAGGTTTGCTTAACTCCTTTGTAATGATGTCAACAAGTTGAGACTTGGGAGGCACAAAAGATGGAAGAATTTGCCTTTCTTGACCTATTCTTTACAAAGTGGCAATCAAGTCCAACATGGCGTGATGAACTATGTTGGAAGCTGAGGCGCTATCACAAAAAACCGGTCAATGGAGAGGGGACCAAGAAACACCCCATATTTCAAATTCACCAATATATGTTAATGACTTTTCAAAAGATAAAAAATAGAAAACTTTAACCCAGCATCATTTTTGAATGCTGTGGAAAATAAAAAAATTTACAGATCATCATGAGTTTACGATTAAATTTAGTTTGATCTTAAATGCTAAGGGTTCCTTGTATGCACTTCAACTCTGAATGTCGTGATCATTAGATCCTTACCTTTTCTCTACTGCCAAATACTACACATATGGATGTAGTAGATCAGGGTGTTATTACCCGCTCCAAAAAGTTATGTGATGCTTGCCTTGCTTATAAGACAAAAATTTGATAGCACTGGCTCATGTGCAATTGCGAACTCCAAGAGCGCGGCTCTTGATTCCATGAACCAAAGCCGAAACCCCCATGCACTCTTTGATATCCGCCCACACCTCCCCAATATGGCCGTTGACATCACCTACTTTATACCTCCCACCAAAATTCTTTATCCGTATGCTTGGTGAAGAGTAAATGATCTGCATGACACTAGTTGAAGCATCAACCAACCAGAAAAGAAGTTTATTGAACCATCGTCTATTTGTAGTCATGGAAATTGGGTACCCAGGGGAAACCCAATTGCAGGTAAACATGGACTGGGTAAATTTTCATGGTGAATTCACCCAATTTATATAGGGTATGAGATGGTGTGCCCCTTATCTATTACTGAGGGTATTGGATATCTTGGGTGCCCAATGATTAGATACAAGTTCCAAAACCCTCAAAACCACTATACCAAAAACTAAGTCTAAAATCAAAAGCAGATACATTTATATTGTTTCAAATACATGTGCCGGTGAGGATTCATTTTAATGAAGGTGATGTTGCCCAGCATGTTCATGATACCACATGAGATATATACTAAAATCCCATTAATGGAGTTGGAAGGAAATGGGAGACTTCATTGCACTGCAAGTTGATGAAGTGAAGTTATAATTAGTACAAGAGAGATGATGTGACAGTTAACTCTGTCTGCTGACCTCTTACTAAATAACAGCTAACTGCCTAAAATAAAGATTACATTTCAGACCCTAAACTATCTTACTATTACAAATTTTTTGAGCACGAGGCTTTGTAAGTTAGAATTGAACTATATGTCTCGTTAGAGATCATTTCACTGTATCACATATTCAGATTGATTTAATACCTAAAAGTTGATGTCAGTTAATTGATTTATATGGTTAAATAACAGCTCACAATCATTTCAGTCGGCAAATACCCTTTGTAGATTACTCGAGGTTTGACTGCTTACTATTGCTCTACCCCAAGACATTATAGGGGCCTTGTATAAGGAACTATTTCAAACAAGATACGTAGAAGGTTTCTTGGCATTTTGTGAGATCAATAAGCATTCTATTCTATCTAAAATTTGGAGGTAACAAAATATCAACCTTATCTAATTGTTAAACTCCAATAAATTATCAAGATTTAATCCAATTATAAACATAATGTTTTGGCTTTTGTTCTTCCTACCCCCATTTTTTCATATGTTGCTGGTGCCTGGTATCTTTATATTTTCAAATTGGTTTGTGTATTGCAGCTCTCGAGAGAGTACATGGGTTCACTTTTGGAGATAGTTTGGAGGAAAGCAGAAAAAGCAAGTGGCAAGACTTCAGAGCTAGGCTTACTAAGGTGTCTATTCAAATGGTTGTATAATCAGTTGCACAGATATACATATACATACATATATTATCATACTTTTGAAAAATTGTTGATTTCTTTGGTTTGGGTACATGATGTTTTTAGGTTATCATTATACAAACTAATCGTCACATCATATGCCTACTAACTACTTGCACTATTACTATTCTGCTGCATAATCAATCATCCATGTGCGTCAAAAAAGGTGGATATCAGTATTTCAGTTCATATGGTTATGCGGGACTGAGACTTACAAGTGCATTAAGAAGCTTATAAGAGAGTGTTTAGCCTTTGAAACACAATGTCTACGTGATCCGTGTGTATGCACGTGGTTATAAAATTAGACTTTTTTTTTTTTTTATAATTTTGCCCTCCCTTTATAAGTAACATTGTTCTTTTTGATAAGTTGGTTCATGAACATCCCAAAAAAGGAAGTAGGACAACCATTAGAGAATGGAGGGAGTAATACTTTAGATGGTTGTTCCTGAGTTTGAATGTCAGACTTAAAATTTGCCCATTGAACATGGCAAGCCAATGTGAAATTTTTTAAGAACTTGGTATTTGCTCACTTTTGGATAGGGTTTCTGTGGGGGGAGTATTTAAAAAAGTTATATATGCTTATCTTTCACGTCATTTCATTTGGAAGATAAACACTCTTGTCTACTTAAGTTTGTAATCATACAAATATTTTGATAGAAATTGTGCCTTTCAGTGGACTTTAAGTTGATCTTTATGTTCTCCAGCTTTTGAGTCTCGAAGAACCCTGGACCTTGATTATGGATGATGCCCTGGCAAACTCTTTTGTTGCTCCGGCTTGTGATGATATTAAAGATGACCATCAGTTAACAAGTAAGTCTACTTCCGAATAAAACTTGTAACTTATTCTGGATTTACCATGGTTCTAAAAGGCGAGCTATATAAGGCGTGTCATGTGCCATGGCGCACAAGTTCTTTTGAAAATGTCGTTTGACTTCTTATTTTTTTATTAAAAGCTTGCTTTATTTTTTACTTTTTACGTTGTTATTAACCTTCAATATAACACTTACTGTAAACTCTATATATAGACGCATAATCATTTACGAACCCAATAAATCTTACAAATGTACAAACCAATTTTCATGTGTTGTTTCACATTTGAATATGCATTGTTTATACAGTGTTGTTTCACTTATGAAGCGATCAGGACTGTTTTGTGTGCGGAAAAAGTAGTCCTAAACATTTGACATATGAAACAATACGGTTTAACACTGCATTTCACGCATGTTATTTCATATATGAAACAACACATGAAAACTGGTTGTTAAGTATGTACGAATTACTGGGTTTGTAAAAGAAGGGGACTATATATATATATTTAAGGTAAGGCTCAAATGAGAATGGCAAAAAATGTAGAATAAACGATTCATATGTGAATCATTGGTAAAAGAAACATAAATTTACATGTGCATTCGGTGATTCGTTTAAGGGTTAATGTAAGCAAATATGGATTCAAAGGCTCTTTCGGGTTTACTGGTATTTCACATATGAATAATTTATTCTTACTCTCTCAACCTTTTGCAGTTCTCATTTGAATCTTCCCTTTTCCCGTCTATATATATATATATATATATATAGAGAGAGAGAGAGAGAGAGAGAGAGAGAGAGAAAGAGAGGGAGGGAGTTTCAAATACGAACCATGTCATTGTTACAAACCAATCTCGTCCGCCCGTGTATATGATCAATGATGTGGATTAAATCAATTCCTAAATTTACTCTAACTGCATTTTTAATTAATTTGATAACCGCCTCTAAATTTTAAAATCAAGGGCCAAGATTTGGTTTGTAAGGTTTGTAAAGATGACATGGTTTGTATTTGAAACACTCTATACACACACACACACACACACACACACGTATTCTCACACTATTTAGAACCTTGGGATTTGCAAATCACCAATGTTCACCCGTACTGTTTTTTATATGTGCTTTGCTTGCATTTTATGCTGTGTTTCGAATTTGGGAAGAAAAGAAAAGTGAAGGAAAGAAATGAAAATTTTTATTTGTGTTTTTGAGAAAGAAGTGACGAAGGAAAGATGTAACTTTTACAAATATACCCTTATCATTTGTACATCTGTTTGTAATTGATGGGTATACTCTTTTAATCATTTTGAGAGGAAAGTTTTAAAAGGAAAATCAACATTAATTTCCTTCCCTTTTCCTCCTAACAAAAACTGGAGAACACAGAGGAGACATAAAGCAAAGTGGTATAGTTGAAGGTGAAATGTCCATTTATTCTTATTTTCTCTTAAACCTGTTTTTATTCACCTTGCCTGCACTACATTTGAAGAGAAAAATAGCAAACATCCTTTGGTAAAAAAATTGTTTGTATTTAGACTTGGATTGATGTTTTATGCAGTTGAGGAATATGAGAGGAGTTGGGAACAGAATGAGGAATTGGGTCTGAATGATATGGACACATCTGCAGCTGATGCTGCTTACGACTCGATAGACGCTTCATCATGATATGTCTCCCCGTCTTTATCGAACCCAAAGCATTTTTGTTATTATCTCGTGTAGTGTTTAAAAGTGGACTTAGAAGATGAAAGAACGTATTTGACCAAAAGATATTGATGCAGTTTTGATGGAAGGAACATTTGCTATTGGTTTTTATTTGATATCTGTTTCGACTAATAATTTGTTTTCATCATTTGATTCAGTTTACAGATAACTCTGTCTTCAAGTGCACACAACATTTCAATCGACAATGCACGGGATTTCCTTGTTTCGCAATGTCTTAATCATCTCATCCGTAATCTTCATTTGTTTCTCAACATCTCCAAATGATGCTATTGACGTCTCTGGCTTAATATCGTGATCATGAGTTGAGTTGATCGGGTTGAAGGCATTTGAACAACTCAATACAATGCTTGCAGGTTGAAAAATCACAATCCAACCTAAACAAAAGTGCAACCTAACCCAACCCAACTCAAATCGTAAGGATTGGATGAGTTGATTTTTTGTTACATCAAAATATTCTCTTAACATTAAATAAGTTGGCTCATAATTTCTTTTTTAGTATCAACCATTTAGTACAGTTTATCAAAACTTCTTAAATCTTACAGTATAGGGCATTCAACTAATTTTTATTGGAAAACTATAGAAACTACTATCAATCAATAGAGAGGGGTTAGATTGCAAACTACCCATATCTTGCAAATTATAGAAATTACTGTCAACTAATAGAATAATTTTATTTTATACTTTACTTTTAATGAATAAGGGTATAAATGTCATTTTACTTTATAATGGTTAATCTTGGTAATCTTTTAATTGTTTTTAAATATGGAAAAATAAATATAGTAATTGTTTTTAAATAAACTATAAATCAATTTATTTTAATATATAATTATTATCATTAATATTTTATATTCTTTTATTAATTTAAAAATGCTACATCAATTACAAAGTTTATTTGTAATAATTTATTTCTTATGAAATCACAAGTGGTTATTGATATAATATAGTTGTGATATTTTCCAGATTTTGAGTATATTGTTTTGTTTTCATTCGTAAAAAAATGTTATTAATGAAACCATGTTATATTGTTTTCAAAATGTTTAAAAAAATGAAACTAATTTCATTTTAGTTAGGAGCCATGAAACTACTTTTTGTTAATGAAATAATAATATTCAGTTATTGAAATGTTTTATTAACTGAACCATATTTGGTTTCATTAATAAAACCAATTTTATCTTGGCTATAAATCATGAAACCGATTCCATTTTTGTTAGAAACATGAAACAAATTTAAAAATGAATGAAATATTATTATTCAGTTCTTGAAGTGTTTCATTGACTGAACAATATTTAATTTCATATGTAAAACCGAGTTCATCTTGGTTAGAAACCATGAAACCGATTCCATTTTAGTTAAAAAACATTTCAACAATTTTTACTGTTGAACCAATGTCATTCAATTTTTGGAATTGTGGAGTCCATGAATCCAATTTCAATTATGAAACGAACTTCATTAACGAAAACATGTTATTTAGATTTTTGGAAAATGTTTAATTAACTGAACCATATTTGGTTCAAATTTCATTATACAGACGAACAATGAAACTAATTTCACTGTTGATGTATTCTCATCATGAATCAGACTGGTATGAAGCAAGTTTTGGATTGGTATGAAACATGTTTCTAATTACATCATTCTGTTTTATTAACCAACCCAGTCCCAAATAATATATTTTACCAAGTTGTCTGTAAAAAGATGTTTTTTAGGAACATGATGTCAAATATATCAATGGAAGGAAAGTCAATAAAACAATGATATGCTTTCCTAATATAATATGGCTGAAAGTTAAAATAGTTTGCCAATTTTGCATTTTCTTGATTAAATATTAAACCTTTTATTTTATTTTTTTTTACTTTTTTAATATAACACATTTTAATCATGACTATTGATCAATAAAATGGATAGATGAGATTGGTTTGTAGAGTTTGCACAAAAAGGGGTGGATTGCATTTGATGGCTCCTCTCTCCCTCTATATATATATATCTATATATATATATATATATGTTTGTTAACTGAGAACATATATATATATATATATATATATATATATATGTTCTCAGTTACCAAACATATATACAAAAGAGTGATACAAAGATGGAGAATAGATTGAAAAGATATGTATATGAAGAGGGTACATGATGATGTAATTGTCTAACGTACATACTAATAAATACTCAACAATCATATTAAATTACAGAAATAAAAGAATATCGGGTTGAGTTGAGTTCAAATAAAAATAACTTAATACTTACGATTTAAGTATTTTACAAATCAAGTAGATGATTGTTTCAAATTGAGTTATTTCGTGTTGTATTAGATTGGGCCGGTTAGATTTTTGATCACTCCTAGCCTTAACAATGGTTCATGGAATATACCTCAGAATTCCTTTCTTTTAGTTCGGTAATATTAGTTGGTATGCCAATTTACAGTCTCTACAGATGTTAGGCCTTTCATGAGGGTATCTTGTGCATCACTTAAACTGACCTTGATTTCTATGTCATCTTCTCTTACCAACAATCTTTTTTTTTAAATCCTACTATCAATTCTTTTACCATCTTACATAAATAACGTATTAACGTGGTTGTTGGCATAGAGTTAACCGATGCTTATTCCACAGATACCGTCATTGCTTCTTTTCCGGAAAAAGTACGTAAAAAACATGTTGATTATATCCAAATTTGGAGGCAAGAACAATGCCTTTTTCGAATAAGYCAATTCATTTGGGACCCTGCAGATCCTCGACAAAATAGCCCCATAACTTCGGGAGAAGGGACGCCTCCTCACAAAGGGGGTCGCAGTGACGAGGCCGGACGACTGTTTACCAAAAACAACGCAGGTCTCCGCAAACTATTCAAAATACACAGAAAAAAATGGTTCATTGCTTTTAGCCTTTTTCCCAAACTTGATTGGTTTCAAATATTTACTTTTAGATGACCTTAATGATGCACATTTATACCTCGATGTGAATATTGGGCATTCGGTCAAAAATGACCATCTCTTTCACAACATTAGTTTCGATAATCTTTGTCTACATTTTCATGGCTTTTCTCATCCAAGTCAAGTGATTTTTTCGGGTATGATGTATTTTCACCACGTAATTGTAACACCCTACCTCTATATTAGTTAGATTTCAATGTTTTAAGTCTTAAATACAAACATTATGATTAAATTAAGTGCACTAAAAAGGTTCCAACAATTGTTTAGCATCTTTTAAATCATCATATTTTCAATAGCAAGTAGCTTACAAGGCAAAGTAATAGAAATCAAACATACAGAGATGAAAATGTAAGTCTAGTAAGCATGACAAAGCAAGCTAAGTTATGAGTTGTCAAGGCTAGAAGCATGTGTTGGCAAAATTGATGATGACAAGCAAGAGCTAGAAGCACGACAAATAAAAGCTAGATGAATGATGTGTCAAGATTCTTTTATCTTAAGCATGAGGTGTTAAACTCTCATAAAAAAACAACCATGAGATCAACAAGAACAAGTAATTAATGCATTGAATTCACCTGTAAGTAGTGGTTGAAGTGAAACCATTATTTCCATACTGAAGTAAGAAATCATTCTCAACACATTACCAAGTTTGAAGTAAGAAATCTAAAGAAAAGCTAGGTGCAATCAAAGTGAGTACGTTATGAGATTGATGAGATACATATATGCTATAAAAACGAATTTTATGCATTATGAAGAATTTGATAAGATGTTTTAGCATGTTTGCATTACATGAAATGATGTTATGTTTATATAGCCAAGATATATGTATATGATGGCATGTTATGATATGTTTTACCCATAAGGCATGAAAGTTCTATACATATTATGTATGACCATAAATATCCAACATATGAGATATTACAAGAAGGGACGTCTTGCAAACGGACCTTATGGGGCAAACCTTTATGGACCCCGGAGTTAGAAAACCTTAAGGCAAGTATGGTACACTTACATGTCGCAAGTGAGATCTCAAAAGGGTATATGAAAGTTGTTGCCATAACTATTCACTAAAGCTTAAAACTTGCATCTTTCACGTATGTATCTTAGGGAAAGAGTAAAGACGTATAGCATGAAGTTATTGAGTTATGTTTCTGCTGATGTTTCAACTCTGATGTAATAGTGATTTATGAAAGAAATGAAGTTAAATTTAGTTCTTTAGTAGGATCAAATGAAAGTAACAACACCTGATTTATGACTTAGTGCGTTACAAGTTGGTATCAGAGCATTAGTTAGACTATGTACGTAGACTTAAACTGAGAAGGATAACATTAAGTATTAGGACATTATATTCAAAATAACTAACATGTATCTAAACTCCATCAGATTATTCCGCTAATTTCTTATCCTGGTTGATATAACCATATGGGATGGTGTCTAGAAAAGTTGAACTGAGTGAGTTGTAGACTTCTAAAAGGTCGCGGATTATATTTTCACCAAATAGATCTTGGCTCCCAGTGTTACCGACCTGACTAATTCACATTGGTAGTCAGATGGATTAGTAAAAAAATGTTGATCAGATTAGAATGAAAGAGTTGTGGTGTAAGCGAAATAGATTACAAACTCACATAACCTTAAAACCTTATGTTGATCCTCTCTCTCAGTGATTTGATGATAATCCCTTTTTCCTTTCGATGTATTTCTGTGTCTGTAATTTCAGTTCCAACGATCATACACTGAGCTTGTTCAGT